TTTATTGGATTCCTTAAAAACAACATTTATAATGAATTTTAATAATTTTTTCGAATTTTTTTGAAGCTTTAATCCTACCGATTCAGCCGATTCCCGATCTGGATCGTCGATTCGCATATCCGGATCGGTTTTTGAGGTGCCCGATCCAGGTCACCGGTCCGCTTTTTAAACCATTGAGTTGAACAAATTAAGATCCTTCTTCATTGTTAGCACATCTGCATGCATCCCATTGATCGTCCTGCAGAAAACCTACCCTTCCTTGGAGTATGTTAATGGCAAACCAAAGGTAATCCTAGAAGAGGAATCACAGCAAACAAGAGATGAATTCAAGAATTGTTTAGTTGGGTTTTTTTTTTAAGACCTCAAAGGAGTTTTTGGTGCTAAAGATCGAACAAATTTGAAAGATAATGGGTTGTCTTTCAAGTCATCACTAATAGGAATTCACACATTAAATTTCAGACTTGTGAAGACTTAGTCAAGGTTACAAATGGCAGCTTTTGGTTCTGTTATGACTGATTTCTTCATCTCAAAGGCTGGAGGGGACTCTGCTAGGAATCCCAAAACTCATTTGATTCACAACTGGTTCAACAACCAAATCTTCCATCATGCCGTTTGTCTCCTATCTCATTGGTCGAATTGCAATAGCCATTGGAAAACCAGTTTCCATGGACAATGCTACAAAAGAAGAAAGACAATTAAATGTGGTGGACCATATGTGGATATTCCAGTTGGTTCAGAGTTACCAATGTCAGTTGACTCATCATCATCTTCATTTTAGCCTTTTTCCATATAATTGGGGTTGGCTACATGAATCTTGGTTCTCCATTCAACTCTATTAAAAGTCATGTCCTCAGTGAGGCCATAAGTCCCCATAACTTTTCGGACTACTTCCAACTATGTCTTTTTAGGCCTACTCTTTGCCCTTTTCAGTCTTTCCACTTGAACTAACTCGCACCTCCTAACAGATGTTGTACTCGGTCGTCGCCATACATGGCCAGCCCACTTAAGGCTACTCTTTCTCATTTTATCGCCTATTGGTGCCACACCTAAATTCTCTCGAATAGATTCATTTCAGATTCTATCTCTTTCTTGTCTTGCCACTCATCCATCTCAACATCCTCATCTCCGCTACACTCATTCTTTGGGTATATTGTTTTTTATCCGCCCAACATTCTGCCCCATAGAACAAAGCTGGTCTCATTGTTGTCCTATAGAACTTGCCCTTTAGAACTTGTCCTTCAACCTCATTGTTATGTGATGATCACATAAAATTTTAGTTACATATATCCACTTCATCCACCCAGCTCTAATTTTGTGTGCGACATCTTCCTCGATTTTTCTATTTTCCTGGATTATCGATCCAAGATATCGAAAGTGCGGTCTTTTTTATATTTCCTGACTGTCAATCTTGACTACTTCCTCGTCTCTACTCCTATTATTACTAACTTGCACTCCATATATTCTGTCTTAGTCTGACTAATTTTAAAACCATTGGATTCTAGTGCATTCTTGCAAAGTTCTAACTATTCTAGAGAATTCCTCCAAAGTTCCAACTTTGTGCTGACGCTGTTTCAGGTTTTATCAATCAAAACTATGTCATTTGCGAACACCATGCACCACGGTACTTCAACCTGTAGGTGCCTAGTTAAGTCGTCCATACCTAAGACAAAGAGGTACGAGCTCAATGCTGACCCTTGATGTAGACCTAGTGTCACTGAAAACTCATTCGTCTCTCCATTAGTTGTTCGTACACTAGTTAGCACTTGTACATTTCTCTCACCAAGTCGATGTAGTGTCTAGAGACATGTCTTTTCCAACACCCACCAAATCAAATTTCAGGCACTCTATCATAAGCTTTCTCTAGATCAGTAAAAATTACCAATGTAAGTTGACTAAGGAATGAATATTTGATTTTGATCAAACAAACTATCGAATGCAAGAGAGTGCCCAAACTGTTTTGGGTTTTGGAGATATCTATTACAGATTAAAAAAGGGGAGGATATCAGCACCACCATGGAAATATGAGGAGATACAACACTTCTCCTTATCAAAAAGCAAGATCTAGATTTCTCACTGGAGGATGGAAAAAGAGAACGCCCTCAACCCCTTGGACACATGGAAAGCAAACCTAGATCTAGGATTCTTGTCTATTGAGAACTCAAAAGAAAAAGAGGGCTTGCTTAAGCTCATAATCTATTTCAAATACAAATTCAAAAGTTGCCAATCAAAAGCTCAAACAAAGAAGAGTCTGGTCCTGTCTGAATTCTGGCCCTTCCCGCTCGTCTGTTGCTAGGTCCGGGAATGGCGCCAGGCGAGGGTGCCGCTATGCCCCACAGCTCTGCTGCCTGCAGCTGGCCCATGGACTATGCAAAAGAATCGAGGCTGGGAGGTCTCGTCACGTCCATAGCCCCCTGCCCCCGGCCCCGCCCCCCCTTTGGTGATTGACTGAACAAATAGGCCTAGATCTATGCCCCTTAATGAATCGAATGGTCCTTCGACCTTCCTTCGTTTGATTCCGACAGTCGGCATAAATCTCATGAGACCCGCCCACTATTACTACGCTACGAAAAAAACCCAGCCCTTTTCCTTCGCTACTAGGAGAGTAAGTAACTTATATTAGCGCCGGACATTTAGTCGAATTTATCGTGTCATGTACAACAAACATTTTCAAATGGTAGCACCAAACCAGAGTGCTACACTCCATAGCATCACAACATAGTGCTATGCTTTCTCCTGTACCATCTCAGCAGATGCTACAACCCCAAGAATGCCCTTAAATGGCATGAGAGAGAGAGAGAGAGGGGTAAAAAAAAAAGAAAAAAAGAAGGTAATGTGAACAAGTAAAATCATCAAGTCACATTACATTCAATAGGTTTTGAAAGGAAAAGGGAATTAACAAGTTCGTCTTCTCAATGTATATGAGTGGATCACGGTGAGAACATATGAATGGATAATGCTACAATTATTGTACTCCTAGTTGGACTACCATCACGAGCCTATTGTATATGCATTTTTGAAGTTTCATGTAATGGGTGCAGTCCCCAGACATCTCATGCTAGCTTTGCAAAGAAAGGGGAAACATCATTTTCTCTCCACTTGGCCTTCCAAAATGTTAATCCAGATCTACAAATCATATTAGAGTAAATTTCCAAAATAAAATAAAATAGTGAGAGAGAAAAAAACCACTACCATTTCAAATTGAAATCCAAATTAAAAAAGCGTGCAACCTATAGCACCATGGTATCATTCTACGCTCATACAAAGTATACCGCCCGTAGCACCACTAAAGTATGCTAACCCCAAATCGTGTCTTGAAAGGGTTACAAAGAGGCCAAGTAAATGACAAATTTATGACTTGCACTCAATTAATTAACCTAGGATAGTTCTCTTCATACCATTAAAGAAAATTAGAGTTTGAGCTAACTGTAATATGTTAGGATACTATTTTCATGTTTAGCTTTTTGTATCCCTGATCCCATAATTTAACTGCAGTCATGACCTCTTGTATATCTCTGTTTTACATATCAATTCACGGGATGATATTTCTTCTGTTTAGCTATTGGCACTCATTCTCTATATCCTTGCAGAGAGCTCTGCATATTTAGGTATAAATACCATTGCAATTTTCCCTTTCATAAAAAAGCCTGAAAATTGGGTTTTTGTTATTTAAATGTACGTGCAAAATACATCACAGATTTGTGACTTTCAATTGTCAACTGGTCACCATATTTACGGAAATTCTTGTCTTCTTGTTTCTTTCTTGATCCTAGTTATTGTTGGAGCAATACCGAGATGTCCCTTCACTAGGATAATAGGCATATGTTCTCAAAGATATCAACAATTGGTCCTTGTATTTATGTTTCTATAGCAATAATTAGGTTTGTATTTAAGATACTTTTGGATATTCAGGTTGCAGCAGAATTCATCTCTAAAGATGGTACAGTCATTTCTCGTTCAAGCCAACCATGCATGCTGCGGTTTAAGAGCCCAATGATCCACAATGCTAAGATCATCCTGAATAGTGCTTCTCTTATTGCTGGCTATGCCATGGAGTCCCAAACCCTCCAATTGAAGATGGAGGGATTCACCGAGGGATACAATCCCACTGCGTGTATACGAGTCACCCTTGAACAGCGAGCTGGATACGAACATGGTGCTGGTATACCTGAAATTTATGCTGCTGATATGCTGTTAGAATCTGAACTTCCTCTACTTAAAAGAATCATATCGAGTTGGAAAATTACTATATTTATATGGGTTAGCACTGGGATTTTTGTCATGCAAGTACTAGCGATTCTTGTTTGCTGTAGACATCTTATATTTCCTAGTCCAAGGCCCCGAAATTGTTCGGCTAATACCGGAGGTGGGGTTAATTCTGTTAATAGAAGTGGTGCCGTTAAAGAGAATTCCAAGACCAGGGATGTGCAGTAACGCAATTGGAATTGGTATGCCAAGGTTTAAAAGTAATTGTAGACTTGGACAAGGGCGAGTAGTGGCATGCTATGTTAGATTGCACCCGTTCCGTAGATTGGCACCTTGCACAATGTGTAGTCCATCAAGGTTGTCTGAACATTCGAATGAGAAATTTGTTCAGTCCTCAGGTATGGTGCTCTAACTTGTATACATGTATAACAGTAGAGATGAAAACTTTCCCTTGAGGTTCTTGTTTGAGGAGAGGTAGCTATTTTCCTTTCAAATCAGACCATAGCTATCAGGATCACTCAATCTAGATGCTGATTCCGCTTTGGAATCTACTCCAACACTCTTTGAGAGAGATCTTCAAGGGACATCGATTTCAAAATTTTTGGATGTTGATTGTCCTTGTTAGCAGATCAAGGTCCCAAAAGGTTGGAAGCAATCCCGACATTTTGAGGACTGAATTGTTTAATAAATTTTTACAAAATATTAGTAGTCTTAAAATACTTCTATTTCTTAAGATAACACTGTTTAATTCTAGTTATTTATTAAAAATTGTAAAACTAGACAGTTAGTCTGAATTTCTTATGTAATAGGTTCTGAGCGAGATTTCCACGAGGTCGGATTAGGATCACTATGCATGGTAAGGCGGCAGAAGCAGGCCGCATATGCGAACACCTAGGTTTTTCTAGTTCTTATTGGGGGTTTGCGTTGGATATCGCATAAATGAATAAAGGGTGCGTTTTGTATAGAGCCTAAGCTTTAAACAATCAAATTAGAGCCTACCTTCAAATAGTATCGAGAAATGTAGTTTCCATACTAAAAATATCTGTGATAGTCTTAAAATATATTTTCATCTTTATTTATAAAGTTTTAAACTTAAAAAATAGTAGATCTATGAAAATTTGAAAATCTTGAAAATTGACGGTCCAAAAATGTGTTACAAAATACATTATTTTCAAAACTTGAAATCCATTTTTTTTTCATGCGTATGCATCTTGATGTCGAGATGATATTTGGGCATCAAAACAAGTTCTTCTAGTACATTTTTGGAGGTAGGTTCAAATTTAATTGTTTAGAGCCTCGGCTCTATATAAACTTTTCCATGAATAAATAAAACATTTTTCTAAGGGGAAAAAGAAAAAATCCGAACACACTAAACACAGACGAATTTAACCGAATACAAGGGCCTATTTATCGATACTTCAATTACTCAAGTATGTATGTAGTGTAGGATACAACAAAACATTATCATGTCACAAAACAACCTGAAGTCTTGAAACAACAAAGCAAGTAACAAATCAATCCAACAACTCCAGTATATATTGCAGGATGCAACAAAACAAAATCAAATCGCAAAACAACCTAAAGTCTTTAAACAATAAAGACAACAAATCAAACTCGAGCCTCACATATATAAGATACATGAAATCTATATCCAAAATTAAAACAATAAAGTAACAAGAAACTACATAGTAATTAAGAAACAGAAATAGCAATCACCTAAATATGTGAAGGGTTTTGTCAGGATACTGCTGTATACGGAGTATTTTTTTAATTTATTCAATATTTTTGGACAGTTAATACCCTTACCTTAAAATGTAGTGGCTTTTTGTTTAGGGGTATTTTAAGTCATTAATTAAGGATCAAGTCGAGATTCATGATAAAAAGAAAAGCATTAATTAATTATAGTGGAGAATGACATCATCTATGTAAAGTGTGAAATTACCTATATAAAGCATTAATTGTTTTTAACTATTATAGAATGTCAGTGCTTGCTTATAAAAATATCAATTTTATCCGTCCTAATGACAAAAAATACTCGTTAAAAAAAATTTGTAGGGTAATGAATATTAAAAAATATTGAGCATATTAAAGAAATACTCCATGTGTAGGAGTGCCTTAATATTTGGGTATAATTTTTATTTATCCTAACTTTGACTTAATATATCCTTGAGAAGGCCTTATCTCTTATTACACTCTTATTTAGATTACGCATGATGGATTCTACATCCGGACTAAGGGGTTGAGGTCATGAGCATTCATAAAGTTCCTGGGATGACATCTGATATATGACCCCCCCTAGTATGAGTATAGTTCCAAAGATGTGTATTAACCCTAATTTGCCCCCTTACAAGACTCTCTAGTGAATTTGCGACAATTACAAGACTCTCTGGTGAATCTACCCCTCGTTCCGCAAATGCTCTGGTGGATATGCAAAAAACTCTAGTTATTCCATTTCACACGTTTCAATACAAATATAATCTACCTTCAAAGATTATTATTGAAAAGATACTCCAGGAGTGTTACCCACATCTTGTAAAACCTGGACGTCCAAAGATTTTGTAAATACATTTCAAAATATTACGTACGTTAAACTTGTAGAAAGGATAAGGCCTTTCATCCAAGTCACTCTGGCCAGAAGACATAATCTTTTTAGAATTACGTGCTATGATAAAGGTGAGACACATGTTTAAGAAGTGGCGAAGACTGTAGAATTCATAAACAATCATGCAGAACTACATGTCATAATCAGAGATAGACACGTGGGCCATTACAAGCACTATATCTCAATTTTTGGGTACGATCAAGAGCCACTAATCGAAGTGTTCGACAATTATAAATAACTCAATAAAGGACAAAGCAAAGAGGAGAGAAGAGTGCGAAGTAATACAATCATTGAGAGATAGCAGTCATATTAAAATATTTGTCAGTGTTTTCCATTGTATGTATATGAACGAGTTCATACAAGTCGCTGCATTAATAAGACTCACTCACTAATTCTTGCATATTTCTTAGCTTGATGAATTCATCTGTGACTTATTAAATAGGGGTTTTTGATATTGCTATTGTATGGGACAAGGGATGTAATTAACAAGGCATCCATGTATACCTTGGAATTGGTTGATTCCTAGAAATAAAATAAAGCTCTATTCAAGGATACGCTGACAAAGTGATTGTTGAAGTACTTTTGAGTTTGTTTTATGTTCTTCACACATTTTAGCTTAAAATTACCCGAACACTTTGGCGACTCCACAAGGGAGCAATTCAGCTCTCTTCTTTGTTGGATTTGATGCTTATAAAAAGTTACCCACATAAGAAAATCTCATATTATATGGGATTGAGATATTCTCATATTATGTAGGATTGAGATATTTCTTTATTATGTGAGATTGATATTGATATTGATATTTGATAAGTTTCATAAATGAAATAGAAATCCGAAAAAGATTAGAACTCTTGTATATATCTCTTGAATATTTGAAGAAACCACCCAAAATCTCAATGGGAACTACTTCTCTACAAGAAATAAGCCTCTCAATGTTCAGAGTCCACAAGAGACATCATCACAATGTTTTTATCCATATGAATCTTTCTTCTCTCTAAAAGGAAACATTACATCTTATGCACATAAGGCCCTGCCCCCCTTTCTCTCTAGATGAAACCACCTTTCCCATATGGTGACCCAAATAAGGTACAAAATTCTCAAAATTTTCATCCCATATATATAAGGTTAGGAATTGACACTAAATAGGAAACTTCCTATTGATGTTACATATACCTCAAAAGACCAAAAGATATATCCAAGAGTCTTAATTCTTTTTCGATTTGTATTTCATTTATGAAACTTATCAAATATCAATCTCACATAATAAGAAAATTCATCAATCCCACATTATATAATAATATCTCAATTCCACATAATATGATAATATCCCAATCCCACATAATATGACATTTACTTATGTGGATGATTTTGGATAACACTAAATCCAACAATCTTCACATTGATATTAAAATCACCTTCATTCACCATTCTTGGTGAAAAATAGTGTTTGCCATCAAATTTGTCCATCTCGAACCTTGCATTTGAAACCTTTATTGTCATACTAAAAAATCCAAACCATGCTATGATACCACTTATTATGCACAAAAGTCCTAACATGTTGATTTTTGGCAAATAAAATATGAAAAAAAAAGAATCAACAAAAAAAACAAGCAGTAAGCAACAAAAATAAAGCAAGAAATAAATAACAGAAAAAATAACACCAGGATTTAAGTGGTTCATCACAGTTGAGACTACATCCACAGGTGAAGACGATCTATGTATTTCACTAAATCAAAAAAAAAAAATTACAAAGCAACTTACTTGAGAGTACCAGAGTCTCAATCTCTCACCAAGCCTTCTTCTTTATAATTTTCTCTCTACAAAAAACCCCAAAAGTTTTTCTCCATTTTTTTGAATCCTTTTCTCTCTCTATATTACCCAATCCTCTTTTTTTTCCATAAAGTTGGGAAACTTAATTTTATCTCTATCTACTTGTGAACTTAAGGCCCCATCGTAATCTACGTAGGATTTATCCATAAGCTTAAATCCTAAATAATAGGCTCTATTTAAATAAATAAGAAACCTAAATTAAAGGAAAATAATCCCATAAATAGCGATCAATAATTCAAGACAATCATTAACAAATTAATAAGGAAATGTCATAATTCTCATACTTACTTTTGACATACTTGTGTTCAATCATGAATACATCAAAGCACTTGTATTATTGCTTAGGAGATTACTTTAGGTCATACAATGACTTCTTTAACTTGCAGACATCGTCCTCCTTGCCTTTAATAACAAACCTTTCTGGTTGAGTTATATATATATATATATATATATATATATATATATATATATGTTCTTCTAATCTCTATGAAAGAATGCAGTCTTGACATCAAGCTGATCTAACTCCAAATCAAACAAAGCATCATAACTAGCAATATCTTAATAGAAATATGTTTTACAACTGAAGAGATATCTCATTATAGTCAACAGCTTCTTTCTGCCCATAACCTTTTGCAACCAAACATGCCTTAAACCGATCACCACTAGTCTCAAGTGACCCATCTTTCGTTTTATAAACTGATTTACATCCAATGACTCTCTTGCCTTTAAGCAACTTCACGAGATCCCAAGTAAGATTCTTTTAAAGGGATTCCATTTTTATATCCATGGCTTCACTTCACCTGCTACTGTCACCATCCTGTGTAGCTTCTTTACAAGTGGATGGCTCTTAGCTTGTGGCAACCAATAAATAAGTCATCATGTCCTCAAAACCGTATCACACCGCTGGCTTTTTTTATTTTCTTTCTCTTTCTAAGCTGAGGCTCTTCTCCAAGTGGAGTAGACTCAACAACTTCCTCATGATCAACATCTTCCCCCACTCTTTCACAGGGAATTTCTAACACATATTTTGAAGTATTTTATGGAGTTGTCAACTTCACCTTAACTGCATCACTACTGCTGCTGTTTTCTTTTTCTGCACCCTTTTTAATGTGTTTTAACATGACTGACTCATCAAGTTTAACATCACAACTGACAATAAACTTAGGCGACTTAGGATCTGGGCGCTATATTTTGTAGCCCTTAAGTCCATCCATATAATCAAGGAAAATACACTTCTTTGATATGAGACTCAACTTATCATCATTCGCATGAACATAAGCAGGACAACAAAAAATTCATGAATGAGAATAAAGAACAAGTTTATCGGACCATACGTCTTGTAGTGTTTTGAAGTCTATTGTTATAGATGGTGACATGTTGATGAGGTAACACGCCGTATTGACCGCTTCTGCCCAAAAGTCTTTTGACAAACCAACATTACTCAACATGTTACGGGCCTTCTCTAGAAGTGTCATATTCATGCGCTCAACAACTCCATTCTGTTGCAGCATCTTCGGAGTGGTGAAGTGACAAATAATTCCTTTGTTATTGTAAAAATTCATATGTTCCGCGAACGTGTACTCTCCACCATTATTAGTCCTCAAGCATTTTGACCTTCTTCCCAGTCTGTCTTTGACCATAACTTTCTAATGGTTGAATATGTTAAATACATTTACATTTTTCTTCAATGTGTAAATCCACACCTTCTTTAAGAAATCATCTATGAAGGAACCACCTTTTGAGACAATTGATGCAGGGCCCCATACATCTTAATGCATATAATCAATAATATCTTTTGTGATGTGTTCTGACCTGTGAAATTGCACCCTACACTGCTTACCATAAACACAGTGCTCATAGAAGTCCAACTTGCACTTTTTCATGTCATCTATCAATTGTCGTTTGCTAAGTTCTACCAAAGCTCTCTCACCCATATGGCCCAAATGAATATGCCACAACTGAGTCAAGTCAGGATCACCATTAACAGATATGAAAGTTGTTGCTCTATCTATGATAGTATTCCCAAACAACACATAAATTCAGTCTAATCTTCTTGCCTTTCATCACAACCAGAACACCCTTAAGAATCTTTATAACTCCACCTTCTCCAACAAATTTACAGTCATTGGAGTCTAACGTACTCAAAGAGATAAGATTCTTCTTTAGATCTGAAACATGTCTAATATCAGTCAAGGTGGACATTTGTTGATAATTGTACAAAATGTGATCCTTCCTTGAATGAAGCTCGATCCTTTCCACATAGGATTACAATCATTCTTAGTTAGGGGGTGATCCTGTTGTCAATAGGAGCACATTCCTAATGAATATGGGAATACAATCTCATTTGACATGAAACAAGTACTTGTTTAATAACGATCTAGATCCCGATGTATTAGGAACGTGCTCCCTGTTCATACGAGATGGCGATCCGCTATTTTTACCCTCACTGGAACTCGCTCCTCGTGCTTTGGATAGCTGTCGCTCCGACGCTCATGCTCCTGATAATTATGGTTCTGATTGTGTTGAGCCGCCTTACTGGTTACATACTCGACACTCTTTCTAGGCAACTTACCCCCAACCTAAACTTGTTCTCTTACTTTTTTCCCTAAAACAAATTTTCTATACAAATACCCCAAGGGAAAAAGTTCATTTTTTTAAAATGGAAATGCCCTTCCCTTATACAAAACTCATTTTGGCTAGATTTGACGTTGACTTTTGGACCCTTGTAGCACATTGTCGGAGCGCACCATCACATTGCCGAAGCGCACCATCACATTGCCGGAGCGCACAAGTATCGGACTGCCCTAAGACAACTACCAGACCAAAACTGAGTACTGTCGGACCGCCCTTTACATAGTGCCGGAGCCCTGGAATCCAGTAACATCTATTGCCAGACCGCCCTTTACAACTGCCAGACCGTACTTTACACAGTGTCGGAGGCCTACTGTCGGACGACACTTACACAGTGTTGTAGCCGTATTGCCAAACCGCACTTTACACAGTGTCAGAGCCCTACTGCCAGACTGCACTCATACAGTGTCGGAGCCCCTATTTTGGTCGGATAGAGGAGAGAGAGGAGTGGGTAAGGTAAAAGTAAATGAGGGTAGTTTAAGCATTTTTTTCTTTTTATTTTTGGTTGGGGGTATTTGCATAGAAAATATATTTTGGAGAAAAAAGTGATAGAAAAAGTTAGGTTTGGTGTAAGTTGCATAGAAAGTGTAATTTTTGTAATTTTCCCTTAATTATTTCTCTAGATATTGATAATATGTCGCGATGAACTTTGTTGCCATGCGTTTGTGTTTTATTTGGACGCAGTTAGCATGCGGCCAAGCCCACACTTGTATAAATGAGGGCTTGGTAATAAATATATTTTTTAAATATAATTTAGTCCTTATTTTTAAAGGATATATAATTTTTAACATGGAGATCATGAGTATCAAAACATATATAAATTTTAAAAATTTAAAATAATAATTCTATAAAAAAAATAGTTGGACCATTAGTTACAATTGCTTTTAGATGACCACCTGTTTGCACCCATCTTTACTTTATACCTCTGGGCCGCATATTGTACAAATGCGCTCCAGCCCGAAAGAAACAATTGTTGATTTTATTTCCTCAAGTTATCACTAATATTCAAAAAAAAAAAAAAAAAAGTTCACTAATAAACTCTCAGCGTTGAACCTCTGCTCCACGCCGACCAATTAAAAAAGGTAGATGGGAACCACCTTTAACTCCTTGTTGAAAAATTGGATGGAAAATTGTTGTGTTAAACTTTTCCTTGACAAACTTGCAAAAGAATACATTATTAATTCCATAGTAGTCTCCAGACAAAGTTGAATATAAGGAATTCCTGTCATTGCTTTCATATTCCCCGCTATGGGGTCGATTTCATTGTAATATTCATATTACATAAGGAAGACTGAGAGCTCTCAAACGCTTTCAATAATTAATCATTATAGATACATGTTGGCCACGGGCAAAGAATAATTGATGTCCCATTCTGAAAATTTTCCTATGTTGTAAACAATGTCTTAAAAATCGGAGAGCCGGATTGAAACGTGGCGCTAGCCTGGTGAGCCGGCTTGAAAAACGTTAGCCGGCTCAGAACCAGTTGGGTGGAAAAAAATGTTATATGTTTATTGTTTTTAGATAATTCAGCGAAAAAAAAATCTCTTGCGCATGATAGGAATGAAAATTACTAGTGAGTATGGCTTGTCAACTTGAATCCATTAAAGAATAGGGCGGATTTTGAGCGGGAGAGCGAATGCCCCCAACTATCCATAAAAAAATTGGACGGTCGATATATGTGTTAACACCCATAGAGGGTGTAACAGGCAGGTACATTTCGCGAGATATTAAGAGGCAGTCATTTGAAAATCCCATTGGGCCTAATTCGGTTCGCGTTGTCGGATTTGAATGATTTTTTAGTCAAACAGAGTTATATTAATCACTGGATTAAAAGAAGAAAAAAAAATTAAGAGAATTTGATGACTGTAGGCTCAATTGAATTGAAATCGCCCATTAGAAACCATTATACACATGTGAGGTTGGATACTATGAGACCATTTATCTTTCTTACATGGAGGTTGCAATAACTCTTATTCATTATATATTAAATAGGAAAGCTCGGGGTGGGTCATAAAGTTTGAGGAGTTTTTTTTTGAACTTTGAATCTAATCAATAACAATCTTACAACAACCAATTTGAAATATGATGAATAACAATGATTGTGACCTCTTTATATTAAAAATAAATTCCATAAATATAGTTTTTTAGAAGTGTGGTTACCTTATTTTTTTCATATTTTTATTAGATGTGTTTTTACTAAGATGTACACATGCTTTAAGTTTTAAGTAATTTGGCTTTGTAGAAAACAAATGAAAAATGAAACACTACAGGACAACTGTGACTGTACGATGAAGTTTGAATGGTGATGGAGGGTAGGTGAAATCACGGTTCATTTTTGCCAATAGGCATTAAGAAGAATTTTCCTATATATATATATATATATATATATATATATATATATACTACTACACTACTAGTACGTACGGTACACGTCTACTACGTACGTACGTAAGTAAGTAACTAACGTAAACTAAACCGTAAGTACGTA